TCACACGAAGGACGCTGCTGCACCTGAACTCTGCAGCAATCGGGACGTCTTTTCATCTCCTCGAGGCCAAAGGGTCGCTGAACCATCTGTGTACAAAAAGAGAGGAGAATTCAGAAGTTCTTTCAAGCCGCCGAGTCCACTGGACGCAAGGATAGTCAGTCCAGAGATCAGGTCGTGGATGGAGAAGGGTTTGGATCAGCTTAACGGAAAGGCAGGAGCGAGTGAGAGTCACATTTCCTTGAGCTCTGAAGAAGGCAGCTACAGCCTGCCGGTCCTGGACTCAGATGAGGAGGATGCTTACAGCTACATCCTGGACCTGAACAAAGAAGTCTTCCAACCATATCAGCAGCTGAGCAGAGTAGTAGTCGAAGAGGAGACGGTGAAGGATGTGGATGAAGAACATCAGGAAATGTGTGAAACTTCAATTGGCTCTGAAAGTTCACCTAGGAAAGGTTCCTCGGTGCGAAAAGCAGATTTCGATGCAAAATCTAAAGTCAGGGATGAGGCAGTGGCGTACAGAAGGTTGGGTGTGAGTAGCTCTGAAGAGACAAACAAAAGAACTGCGTTTGAAGTGCAGCCGCGGGATGAAAGCAATACGAAAAAGCGACCTGAGGAGGAAATAGATTTTGGAGAACATATGGATGATTATGGTGATTACGGTGACAGAGAGAAGGAGGAGGAGACAGAAAATGCAAGAGCTCTGACACGCGGCGATGATGAAGTGGAGGCTTCGGCAGACAAACGTGAACAAAGGGAGAGTTTCGAAACGTCTTGGTGGCAGAATGAGGTTGAAACGGGGAAACATCTTTGTGTAAACAGCGTTCCAGGGAATAAGAAGAAAGTAAGTGAAGGGGGAAGAGACAATTTCAGATCTGAGAAAGAGCAGGAACGAAAAGAAGAGGGTGCTAGCACGGAGGGTCGGAACAAAAATCAACAACGCTCTGAGGAGTTTGTGGAGTTTGGGCTGACAGGTAAAACGAATTTCACAAAACACAGTGTCTGTAAAACAAGAGATCTGACCTCAGAGGACAACGGCGCTAGGTCGGAAAACGTAGAGGAATCGCAACGGGCGATTGATGAATGTAGAACAACTGATAAAAAGATAACAGATCATCGGAGTGGAGCGGCTTCGAACAGTGACCGTGGTGCAGATGTTGACGTTCATGCTCGTGGAAAAAGCTGCAGCACGGCTCCTACGTCGCTCAGGTAAGTACCCAACCACGCAAGTGAATTTGCCGAGTCTTAACTGCTCGTTAAATCGAGCCTTTTCGGACGATTCCCTAGAGAGTTTTTATGCTGCATTTTATGTGAACGCGATATTTATATTCATGAAAGTATGAAGAATACAGTTCATTAATAGTATATTTTTCAAAATAAATAATAATTAAAAAAAAAAAATTCATTTTAGGTGACCCCATTTGAATTCCAGGTGACCCCATGTGGGGTCACGACCCCTAGGTTGAAAAAACACTAAGCATTTCTATCTGACATCTCACCCCAACACTAAAAGAAAATTAGAAAGGAACTGGATTTTAGGCCTTAGACCTGGAAAGAATGACCCGGTCTAGCCCAGATTTCTACAAGAAAAGAATTCCCGGATGGAAACACTGCTGAAAAAAGTGCCGACTTGATTGAAGAATATGTAGAGAAATAGCCTCGTTATTGTTACAGCTAAGAAATGTTTCCAATTTGTGATTGATTTACCCTCGTATCTTTCAGCCGCTTGTCTGATTGGCTGCTGTGCTGCGCAATATGAAAACTGTGAAAACTGTATTGTGCGAAAAAACATTCTCGTCCTCATCAACATCGTTGACAGCTTCCTCTCAGCGGGAGAAATTGGGCGTCTGACCTCTCTCTCCCGCTGCTTAGTGCAAACACAGCAACTCGCACATCTTTTTATCTCAGCCAAAAAAAAAAAAAAAAAAAAAAAATTATAAAGGCCTACAAGAAATGGAAAAAAAAAAAAGGGGGGGAAAAAAAAAAAAAAAAAAAAAGTGGGTCAGTGTGGTCCACAGTTGTGTGGGTAGAAAGGACGAGTTTAAATCAAGTATCTAAAGCAGGGGTGTTAAACATACGGCATGCGGGCCAAAATTGGGCCAAACCTTCGCGACCCAATAGTGGTCAATAGACATTATTCGTAAACTCCTGGGAGACATGATGCGAGACGACCCAAAAAGAAAAAAAATCTCTTGCGACCCACCTGAGGGTCGCGACCCAGTCTTTGATAACAATGCGCTAAAGGGTTCAATCGGGCCTGTTTGATGAATTTCATGTCTATGATCCTTTTTCTAATACTTCATTAAAAATATACTATTACTTCTTGGCATGAAAACAAAAGAGTAAAACATGGTTATACCTGTACTGGTCTGGCCCACTTGACTAATCTAACTAATCCCAGTCGCACAATACCAATACCAATACCTCTAGGGTGTTGTCATTACTGAGGTGTCATATTATCTGTGATTAACTGTTAAAAAAATGACACAACATTCATGAAGTTAAAGGTTATTGATCAGTCGTACTCCAACTCTAATGATGAAATTCTGCTGCAGTGTCACTACAGAACGTGTGTGAGGTGAGCGCGGGGGTGGGAGGGGGGTTGCGGGGGTACATAAGTGACCACTTTATTAAGGGTCTCTCCATTTCAACTTTTAATAACTGTAGTTTTGGGGTTTGTCACAGGAGAAGATCTAGTGGCTCTCAAACTGTTTTCTCCTCTCACCCATCATGTGTACGGTAATGGAGCAGTCACTCAGCCTCCGGGGTCTAATGGTGGCATCAATCACACGCAGACTGTACAGATAATTAGATTTGCGTCTGTCCTTTAAGCTGCTTCCGTGCGAACGTGAAGTACCTAACCCTCAGTCGTCAGAGTCCAACTCTCGTGTGCTTTATCTTCTCTCCAGCGGCGAGGGAGGATTCGCTCTTCGCTCCGCCGCAGCCTTCTGCGACGTAACCCCATTAGAGCTGGAAGTGCTCACGGCCCTGTGGATCCTGCTCTACTGCTGCTTCATCCTGTCTCAAATGAACCTCTGAGCCCCCCCCCCGCTGCAAAGCCTACTTATTAAGATATGCTTATTAGCCCACTTTCCACTAATGAGCCAAACAGGGACATTTACAGCTGTGTTGACTTTACATCTCTGTCACTTAATTTCCCTCCAGGCAACGTTTAAAAAAAACAAAAAAAAAACATGTTTGCCTCTGACTGCCAACAGGTGGTATTTGTCACTTCGACCGAGTTTCTTCGCATTAAAACCTTCGAGCAGATTTCCAACTGTCTGCCCGTATTCCATTTGTAGACATCATTAATGTAATGTACCAAAGTGATGCCTCTGTTTACTTCAACAAATAGCAGTGTTACACCACATGGTGGCATCGCAGCTTTACAGTGGGGAAATGTCTGTGATGACAGACGATGAAGATGAAATATCAGGAATATTCCTGCCTGCTGGGAATTCCACAGAGCTTGTTTGTTTAATTGGAAACTGTATTAACGCTGTAAGATCAAGGCCCGTAACATTTAATGAGCGCTTTGACATTTCCTACACTCGGGTATGAGTCGATCGACAAACTCAACGTGTTTTATGACATTTTTTTGGTGAGAAAATAAATGTTTGTTCCTCATTAAGGAAATACAGTATGTTGTATGAAAAATACTGCATTGATTGTTTTCTGCTGTACAGTATATGGCAGTGTTTCCCAAATGTTTTGTCTGGGGACCCATATGTTGAAGGTCCCAAACCTTCGCGACCCAAGTCAATACCCGTATGTTGAAGGTCACAAACCTTCGCGACCCAAGTCAATAAACGTCATTCGTAAAACACAAAATAAAGGTGTGCTCGACCATTATTGAACATAATCAGGATATGTTGTTGTTGTCCGAGTGATATCTGAGCAATTAATTAACAATTGATTGTTGCCATGACCGTGAACTCTACCCCAAAAAAAAAAAAAAAATCTCGTGTGACCCACCTGAGAGTCGCAAGTCTTTGGGAAACAATGGTCCATGGAGTACTGGGACTGCAACTGAAGTTACATAAGTGTGTTCAAAATCCATGTTGACCAAATACAAACACACTCAATGTTGCTGAAGTTCTAAGAAAAAAAAAAAAAAAAGAAAAAAAGCAGGCTGCCATTGTTTGCTTGGAACATGACCCGCAGGTCAAAATCTCAGTACGAGGGATCGATGCACTTTCAACACCATCACCGCCCCCGCAGTTGAGCCACCAGAGTCCCACTCGCCCAAAGACATATTCTGAAGTTTTGTATAACTGAAACTGCAAAACAACGTGCAATGATATCACCCGTGTACGACTGTTCTAGAAAGTTTCACAGTAAAAGACACCACTGCTGCTCCAGTTACAATTCCGTGTACGAACCGAAAACTCAGATTTGACCTTTGCGCTTTATCCTGCACTGACTGATGGGGTCACTGTTGAGCACCGATGCCCTGAAGTAGCATCCAGTGTTCAGCTCTCGACCTTTTGACCTGGTTTCTGACCCTGCTTTACCGGACCCTCTCTGGGTTTCTAGCCAGAGTCGGCGGCCTACCGGAGTGCTGATGCGTATCTGGTCTCATCTATCTTACCGCGCCGCCTCGTTTTTACATGAGGGATAGCTCGGAGGTGGGATTTTAGGGCCACAGCGAGGGGTGGAATAAGTGGTGGAGGAACCAGAGCTGCTTCAGTTTCTGCCCAGGCTTCTGCTCGCCGGGTTCCTCGTCCTTCCGCATCAGCTGATAAAAAGAACCGCCGCTCTCCTGACGGACTTGATTTTCTATTCAAAGCTTCTCGGTGGGAAAGAAGGCTGCGCTGCAGGGTTACTGCCCTGGGCTACGAGCTGAGACGCGGGGACACGAAAACGGCTGAGGTTCTAGACATTTCTCTGCTGCGTGTGTGCGTTCAGCCTAAACAGTCCCCTACTGCTTTTTCTGTAAAGTGTGAATGTGTGTGAAAATAACTGTGGAAAACCACCTCCCAGACATTTCCTGTCCTACAACACCTTCGCACTAAGAGATGAAAACGCGGCAACCGCTACTTCGTCGGTAGCTCTACTCGCGATTATTAATGTATGACACTAGGGAAAAAAATATGTGAATCCCACAGAGCAAGGATTAAATATGAATTGTTTTGTCCCTGTAGGACACTCCTGCCTGGGGGCCCGTACACTCCATAGAAACAGATTTACCGCTGTAAAACAAATCCCACTTTAATTTCTAACCACTGCTATTTGGAAGCCTAACATTTTTTTTTTAATTTCTCAGCCTCAAGTTGTAGCTAAGCAGCCAGCAGCTCAACCCCAGGCTAGTAAATACACCCCTGCAGTTCCAGTAACTAAAAACATGCCTTTTGATAAATCTCAGCCAACACCGAACGCTGTAAGTCACAGCTTAAAACAACTTTAAAAATGAATGCTTCACCTCTAATATTTATAATTAAAAAAAGGGCAATAAAAAAAGTGATTTTGGCAAATGGCTCCTGAATGACCCGTGAGAAAAATTTACTGCTCAAATAATACGTTAGATTGGATTTTTTTTTTTTGAATGATCTACAGTTATTTCATATAAAAATTTCATTGAGCAATAAGTGGATTTCAAAGTCAAGTATATTCATGTTTTCATGTATCCACGTGCATTAAATGAAATATTATAATTAAGTGACACTCAGGATGTACCGCCTCATTAGTTTCTTTTCTGTTTTTATTTTCTTTAAAATTCCGTCGACTAAAATGGAGAATATTTGGAGCCTGCTTTTTTTTCATAGGCTGCTGTCTTTTATAGAGAGGTGATGCTCACTGGTGACAGTTGGCGGTAACAGATTTGCACAGCGGGTGCTTGTTTTTTTTTTTTTTTTTGGATTGGTTTGAAACCTCTGTCTTGTTTTCGGATTTATTTTAACACAGTTCCTTCAAAACTATTCGTGACAACACACAAATCGAGCCTCCGAGCAACGAAGCAGTCACACGTCGATGTCGGCATCACGTGTAGCCTTTGTGGAATTTGCAGATTTGGTGGTTATCTTGGACAGGAAATAAGCATCGTTTCCACATTTGACATTGGGGTTATCGCGAGGACCGTTAGCGCTTCGGTCGTCCGTTGAGTCCACATTTGACTTTTGTGAGCAACTTTTTAAAAATGTCGCAACTTACAGTAGACCAATGTCAAGCGCATCCTTCAATAATTCATCTGTTCTACATCTGCATAATCCATCTCCGCGCTGTCCGACGGTCGCACGATCTGCAGCCAGGACACAGTGACCGAAGCCTGGGTGAGATCCACTTGACGTCGTGCCTCCTTGGCATATCAATAATGTCGCCTTGTGATAGGTCAGGGTGAAGGTAGTGGCGGTTGCAACCTAGATTTTTTTTTTCTCTGTAACTGCGTGACACAATGTAACATTATAATGAAACAAAAAATATAGTACAGCGGAACCTCAAGATGCGAGTGTTTCGAGATACGAGCAAGCCGTCGAGCAAATTTTTGCTTCGAGATACGAGTAAAGACTCCAGATACGAGCACGCTTACAGACGCCGACGCTAGGTGGCCGAGCCCTCGGAGCAGCCCACGCCGCCTCACTCGCTCACCTCACGTGTTCGTCGACTTCCATCTGTGGTAAGGATGGTAGTGAGAAGAAGAAACGCATGCTGACCTTGGAAATAAAGCATGAAACTGTCGATAAATATGAGTCGAGTGTGGTGCCCGCTAAAGAAAGAATACACATTGAAAAAGCAAAACGTTAGCTAGACATATTCATAGCAAAAGCATTCATAGTTTTTGCTTCCTGAGAATGTGCACCAGCTTCAAGGTTGGGTACTTCTTCTGGTACTTGTAGTAGTACACAGTGCAGTGTATGACTCTGGAAAGCATATTGGCTTTCCTGTGGGTGAACCCTGCATTGATACCCGTCACTGAGCAACAGTCTGGCCCTGGACAGGTCTTACTGTCTGTCATTCAGGAGCATGATGTATGATGCTGAGAGGATTCTTAGTCAGCAATAATTACTGTTCTCTATACATCAGTGAGTCCAAGCCTGCGGTCCCCATCGCACAGGTCGTAACGAGACAGCTCACGGTACAGCCAATGATGCGGCTTTGGTTTTGACAGGCGGAGTGAACTCTGTCCATCCATCCATCCTTCTATCCGTCCATCCATCCATCCATCCATCCATCCATCCGATCAACCTAGTCGACCTAATCATCATGTTTCATGATCTGTTGGAGAGAAAAAAAAAAGGCACTTTTGGATGTTTTTGGAACGATGTGTAATTGTGAAATTCACGATGACAACATAGACTGGAATTATTTTTATTTTTGGTTAGTTTGGGTTCATTTCCCTTCACTGAGTCTTTACTGTATGATGGCGGAGTGTGATGCAACGCGTTGCAAAATAGATACAGTTGCAGGAGGTTGAAAGCAGCCCATTATCTCACTGGTGTTCTTTATCCTCAATCTGCTGTACTGTGTGCTGTGTTGCATCAGTGAAGATAGTGCGGCCAAACATGGAGTATGGATCCGACGTGAGTTAATTTTTGACCAACTGTCTGTTGCCTCTTAGTCAACAGACCAAGTCCGGGTATAAAACGAGGAAATCTCTGCCAAACTGTTGGCAGCACAGAGGACGGTGAAGGTAAGGGAAGTGACATTAGCTACGTTAGAATTATTTGAGAGATGGGAACCGCAATAATGAAATATGTTTATAAGGTCAAAGGTCATTTTTTGTTGAATGTTAGTAAGTAAAAAAAAAAAAAACAAAAACAAATATGCAGACTCGTAAATTTGGGGAAAAAAAAAACATAAAAACAAAAATGAAAGTTTGTATTTTTTCTGTGCGGCCCAGTACCAAATGATACATGGCCCAGTACTGGTCCCCAGCCTGGTGGTTGGAGACCCCTGATTTAGTGGATTTGCTACATTTGACATTAGGAGGTCGATGGGAACAGAACATACTACACAGTGCTGTTACTGTTTTTTTTTTTTTTTGCATTTCATCCACTTCATTAAATCTTCACAGGTTGGAAGAATGCGTGGCATCTTTGCTAGTTGTGCTCTTGCAGCGGTGCTGCTGGCCGTTACCTCGGCGCACCACGGTGACCACGGTGACCACGGTGACCACGGTGACCACGGTGACCACGGTGACCACGTTCACCCACACAGTGCTGGCCTGACGTGCCACAAGCTTGCCAACCCTCATGCCAACTTTGGCTTTGCACTCTACAAAAACCTGAAGGCCAAAGCTGCAGCTAGAAAGAACATCTTCTTCTCACCTCTGGGCATCGCCACTGCCCTTTCCATGTTGTCGACGGGAGCCCGCGGTCAAACGCACAAGCAGATCTTCGCATCATTGGGCTACAGCGCTTACAACCAGGTTCAGATCGACGACGCGTACCACCACCTCCTGCAGATGCTCAACGAAAACAAGAAGAATCAGCAGTTGGACGTCGGCAACGCCGTCGCGGTGCGGGCCGGTTTCAGTCCTAAGGATAAGTTCCTCACGGATGTCAGGCACTACTACGCCGGTAAGAGCTTCAACGTCGATTTTACGAAACCTGAAGAGGCCGCGGCTGAGATCAACAGATACATCGCCGGTAAAACACAGGACAAGATTAAAGATATGGTGAAAGACCTGGATCCAGATTTGGCCATGGTGCTGATCAACTACGTCTACTTCAGAGGTAGGGCACGCACTCACATGGAACACATGTAAACCTCACATCTGTAGATGTTCAGATCCACGTTTCCTTGCGTTCTTTAAGCACAACGAACGCATCTGAAATGAATCAGTCGGAAGTCAGTTACAGAGCACACAACACCAGTTTTTTTTTATCATTTAAGTTAATGCACACAATCTGCATTCCTATTCCCAACACAGGACAGTGGGAGAAGCCCTTCGACGGTAACCAGACGCACAAGGCCTTCTTCCAAGTGGATGCAGACACTAAAGTTGAGGTGGACATGATGAGGAAGACCGGACGTTACGACTTCTACCAGGATGTCAACCACACTACTGTGCTCAGGCTGCCCTACAAGGGCAATACCTCTATGCTGATTGTCCTGCCCGACGAAGGCAAGATGAATGAAGTGGAGGCCGCCATAAATAAGGACATCCTTTCAAACTGGCATGACAATTTGTTCAGAAAGTAAGAGACGTTAACATTTTGGCAAAGAAATAGCCTAGCCAGTGAGGGCACTGCGTTCAAATAAACCAAAAATAACCAGTGTTGTAACCAGATTACGAACAGATCGTGTTCAAAGCTGATTTTCTGCTTCTCAGTTCTGTGAGTCTGCACCTCCCGAAATTCTCCATCTCCGCCGATGCCTCGCTGGGTGAAACGCTCGCAGAGTTGGGAATCATCGACGCCTTCGGAGACAGAGCTAACTTCGCCGGCATTTCTGGAGAGGTCAACCTGAAACTGTCAAAGGTAGGATCAGCAACCTCTGATTTTTGTCTTTTCGTTTCACGACTAGAACAGGACGCTTAGTGCCCCCTGCTGGTCCGTCTCTAGGTGTCTCACCAGGCCGTCCTCAGTGTGGATGAAACCGGAACGGAGGCAGCAGCTGCCACCACTCTGGAAATCATGCCGATGAGTTTGCCGGAGACGCTGGAACTCAACAGACCTTTCCTGGTCTTCATCCTGGAGCACTCTACGAGGAGCATCCTCTTCATGGGCAAGATAAACGACCCCACCGCCATGTGAAGGAGAAAAAGGGTCGGCGTGCCAAGAGAGACTGACGGTTGACAAAACTAATTTTCTATCAAGCAACAAGTGACAGATTTCATCCTAACTGAAATTTGAACCTGGCAAGTTGAAGAATGTCAACGTACAAATATATATTTAGAGTCCTAGAGCTAGAAGTGGAAATATCACAGGGATCATCTGGTAACGTGGTGTGTTTGCGATGACGGTGTTTGATCATGAACGGAAATAAAGGCTTGTCAAGAAGTCCTATAGTGTCTGATTAGCCGCAAATTAACACACTTTCTTCACTGATTCTGCATTAAACCAGTCAATGTTGCTGCAGGTTCGTAATTTCAAATGTATTTTACGTGTTTCAAAGTTTTTTTTTTTCTAAAGTTAACCGACCAGAGATGGCAGCGGTAATCCAATGTGGCAGGCGTATAAAACATAGATTTTTGGTACAACAGAATCTTCATTCAAAATAATGAATTTGTCTACAATTACGATGTATTTTTATGATGCTGTGGACTTTAACAGACATCAGTTTTTAAGGAAAGACCTCGGTAAAGATGCCAAACTCTTTATGTGGAGCCATCTATCACCCAGTGCGTCATTTCAATTGTTAAAAAAACAAAAAGAAAAAAAATGAACATAATTGAATTTGAAGTCTGTGTCATTGAGATTTAAAAAAAAAAAAAAAAAAAAAAAAAAACACAACGGCAGCCACGACCTCTGGGGTTAATACATGTTTCGTTGCCATCTGTCAGAATTGACGGGCCATTCTTCGTTTTCTTCCCGTACATCCTCTTCACAGACAAGATCAATAACCTCACAGCCGGCAGAAAAAAAAATGAGTATCATCATCATCATCATGGCTGTCATGTCAGGAACCCTTTTCCCATCAAAATCATCGACTCGTTACTCATCGCACCCATGCTGCCGTAAATGTCCATCTGTCTCCGCACGCCTTTTCATCACTAAAGAATGGAAGGACTCCACCGGTGCAGAGTCGGTTTCATGAACAAAAACGGAATGCTGAGAAGAATGATGATGCCACCACATTCTGCAACCCAAACACATCACAGCTTGGGTTCGCGATTTTGGTCAATTATGTGACGATGATGAATTTACGTCTCGTTCATCGGTGTGAAAGAATCATCTCATGTCATCGTGGCGTAGCTGACTGAAAAGAACCTCCTTCAGTGTCACCCGGCGGCTGGATCCAATCAGTGTAAGAGGTTAGACGGTATGAACATCAATAAAGGAGGACATGTGACCCGAAGGCCATTGGCCTCAAATAACTCCTCGTCCTTTGACCTGTCAACAGACAGCAGTGAGGCAGCAGAAGTGTTTACCCGGTGCACATACACTCGTCTCTGCCCTGAGGTAATGTTCCCGTGAAGACAGTAGCGTCGAAAAACATGAACGCGGGGTCACACGATCGCGCTTCGTAGACGTTCATAGTCACAGCTGACTGAAAACTCAGTATGGGGCCCCGGGTTGAAAAATGTTTACTCCCTAACTGAAGATTCACCTACGGTACTCTTCTCTCTTTTTTTTTTTGTGCGTGGGTGGGTGACAGTTTCTGACTGTGTTACCGTTCGACTCCACCGTTTCTTTTTTTTTTTTCATCTTGCGCTGCATGTAAATGAGCTGGAAGACTCCTGAGGATTGTTCGAGTTGTGTAATTTATCACGGTAAACGTTCAGCTACATTCCCCTGCCGGTGCGCAGCGGTTACAGCTCGCAGTAAATTGTAAAGAATGAACTGCTTTTCCTCATAAAAGAGGCGAGTGTCACTTTGTGCACGATCCAACAGGATCATTGAATTAAAACAAATGTGGTTTTTAAGCGAAAACACGACGAACGCGGGGAGGGGGTGGGGGTGGGGGGTTTAAGGAGCAGTGATACGCAAGCTGACGGCCGTGGTAGCATTTCAGACGCAAATGTTGATTCTCTGTCTGATAGGAAATAGCTCTCTCTCTCTGT